CATTTATAATGAATTTTTCCAGATAGGGAAGAAAACTTTTGATTTATAGTCCATACAATCTATAGTATAATGAGAATAACTAACAAAATAATAAATAGAGCTGTTAAACTGAAAAAAAAATTATATGTATAGATAGTAATTCACAAAATTTCACTTATTACTGTTGATGTGTTAAGATAAGATGATGGTTAGAGATAGTCGTGCTATTTGGCACTCGTCAGCAAAGTGTATTTATAATCTTGCGGGAACTGATGTTCCCTGACGGTTTTGATCCCATGTCACCCAGCTTCATAGTCAGACACGTGATCACTGAGCTATCGCAGCCAAAACTGACTTCCTGTATGACTGAGATTTACTTACAATTGATTAATAACTGGGTGGTGATCAATGTCATGTATGTCAGGTCCTTTTTAATGTTATTAATAATAGGATTTTCAAATGTTAATGTCATTTAACCTGATAAGAAATGTATATGTATGAATATTTTTAGGTAAATTTAAACATGAATTTCAGGCTTTTTTTTCCAATATGCATAAATTACTTATAAAGTTATCTGAATTATAGTAATCGTGAGGACGGTCAACGGGTGAACTCAAGGATACTCTAAGAAGCTCAGAAAGAGTCTAAGATATTCCATCCAAACATCTTTTGGAAAAAACCCTAAATGCCCTGGCATGGCTGAGAGTGAGGAGAGTCAGCTCTCCCTCTCAAAATGATCTCACATGGCCACGTGCATACAACCACTGTCAGGGAAGTCTCACTCACTGCCTTCTTGCGGCAAAAGTGTTTTTTCCAAAATCGAGAGAATGAAAAGCGAATGTCCGGCGCTTTAACCGGGTTGGTGGACACAGAGAGTATACCTAGGGAGGTCTGAAAACTGATTCCGAACCAATGGTGCACATGGGCCTCAGTATCCTGAAAGACCGAATGTCATATGAACCAATCGTTGGTTACCGGCTACCATGAGCCTGCATCTCCTTACGATGCTCCACTGTCTTGTGGATTAAACCTTTTGGTCAAAGGCTCTGGGTGTGGCGCCCTAAGAAAACCACCTGCTTCAGTCTCAGCACCCGGGCAGTATCACAGCCCTTACACAAATCGAGTGATTTATGTGGCACATATCTATTTGGTGCCTCCTTGTACCAATTTTTATTTGTTTAAATGTATAAATATATCTTTTGGAGGAATATTCCAGAATCCACAGTAGTAATAATAATGAGAAGAATCGTGGTAGTAGCATTAATGTGGTATATGCTACTTATTTCAACAGACATATGTGGTATGTAACACCAATACGAGGTGGAAAACCTAGCACTAGAAGGCTAAGAAGATCAAGTTGAAGAGAATGAAAGTAAAATGAGAAGGAATTCTGAATTGGAAGAATCATGCAGAATGTGAAGGACAACTGATGGTTGATGTACATATAAAGTATTCAATATACTTGGTTTTCATAATGTACTAAGACACTGTTACGTTGCATATGAGTACTTGTCCGCTGAAATAATAGCATAGACCTATTTGTTTTGTATTTACTGTCTAATTTCGAATTTATTGTCATTCCAAGCTTTTCATCCTTCGTGTTTCTTCCAATTCTCAATTCATTTATGTTTCCTTTTCTTTTTTCTTCAGTTCAATCATCTCAACCTCCTGTTGAAAGGTGTCCACTCTCTCCATTCTTGTTTTACTTTGTCATTGACGCGCTTTTAGAGATGACACTTTCCTCATCTAAATTTCCAGGGGTTGAACTTCTACCAGGAGATTCACTTTTGGATCTAGAATATGCCGATGACATAGTTCTATTTGGTGAAAACGCTGACAAAATATAGAGTCTTCTGACCACGATAAGCAACAATGCAAGCATGTTCGGGATGAGATTCTCCCCACCGAAATGTAAAATGTTGCTTCAGGACTGGGTTGCATCGACACCCGAACTAATTATAGGGAGTGAAGTAATTGAGCGTGTCGATCGCTCCACTTATCTGGGAAGTCTCATCAGCCTTTGTGGTTTGGTGTGTGACGAATCCTCAGCACGGATTCAGAAGGCTCGACCAACTTTTGCCAACTTGCTTCACTTGTGGCGTAGACGAGATATCCGTCTATCAACCAAATGACGTGTTTACTGCGCAGCAGTTCGTTCCGTCCTACTTTACGGCAGTGAAATATGGCCGGTAAGAGTAGAGGATATTCGTAGGTTACTAGTATTCGATCATAGGTGTCTTCGAAACATTGCTTGTATATCCTGGGACCATCGAGTAAGTAACTCAGTTGTTAGGAAACGGGTACTAGGTAAGGATGGCAAATCAATCGATGAAGTGGTGAAAGTTCATCAGTTGAGATGGCTGGGATATGTGTCACGAATGCTCAACCACCAACTGACTCGACGTGGGTTGTTTTCTGGTGTAGGAGTAGGTTGGAAGAAAGCTAGAAGCGACCAGACCAAAACATGGCACAAGTTCATGAAGTCACTGATAAGTGGACTGAGTCATGTTGGTAGGTGTAGACTACCTGGTTGGGGACCGCGAGATGATAGCAACCGGTGGTTAGAGACCCTGAATGACATGGCTCAAAATCGTTTGGAATGGCGCAGGTGCATCCACTCTTTGTTCTCCCAAATCCTAATCTTCTAGATTCTTCATGTCCTTTATTTTCTTTCCAAATTTATTTCACTGGATTATACTCTTTAAATAACATCTTCAAACCCTAATGTTTCCGCTTACTGCTTATACTCTTACCACCTCTGCCGCTACGGGATGTGAATCGACCACTGCATCTCTGTGCTAATGTGGTGTGGCAACTGGAACTGATGTACGCATGTACGAAGTTCTACGTTGTTACTGACTGACTGTTTAAAGGCATCCCACTCCTGAGCTGTGCCACATGCTACTTATGTCGACGGACATATGTAGCTTACACCACACTATGACCAATTTCAAGTGATCTCACTATGTCTCTAACCATAGAATAAGATTATCTCTAATGTTTAAACACGTAATTATGCACTCGCTGATGCGGCTCAGTTCAACAGTCATTAACATCACAGATTGATCTCATGTTTTCGTTTGTCGATTCTAAGTCTTCTGGGAACCTACTCCTACAACAGATAACATTGTGTGTTAAAATAGGGGATTGCTAGTCATCCAGAACGGTTCTCAAACGCCTCAGTAGATGACAGTTTAGAGTTTCGCCAACGTTTTAGTTATTTCTACATAGAGCTCTACATCTCACCATATCGTTTGCTCAGTTGGTGGTTCAACCATGAATAGACATTTCCTGGAAGAAATCTCTGATCAAATACTGATAAGTGAAGTATGTTCTTTGCTTTCAGAGATTATTTTTCACGGCTGTAAAGGATCTCAAATCAGAATGCTACGAACTTTACTTTTTAATTGGTAGGAAGTTGGGGATCTCACACTAGAGGTGGGTCAGATGTTCGAAAACAAAACGATCATTTTATGTCAATGATAATATTTTGCTGAGCATCAGGATGAATGATTCCGAAAAGTTACTACGACTAAATATTGCGCAATATTTGCGAAAGTTTTTTCTCCTTAAACTTGGTTTAAAATGAATGGGCTATTAGTCAGCGTTGAACTGTGATCTTATTTAAAGTGCTTTATAACCGATCCAACTGTTAACTTTAGACTTAGATACATAAAAAAATAGATTACTAACGTCGTTTGATTATAGTCGCACTCATAGTTCAGCTACATTAAACATAGCAAATGGTTATTATTTAGATGCAAGTTTTGCGATCAATCTCTTTTTCTTTTCTCATGTTTTACCAATATCCAAAAAATGTCATTTTAAAGTATTCGACAAAAACGTAACATTCTTTTGGTACTACCCGAAATATTATTTTTGTAATTTATCAACTCCCGTACATTACCTAATCTCCCCTATTGTTTCTCTTTATTTCCTTTTGAATTATAGAGAAAATAGTACGCTGTGTTACTTAAATCTCTGAATGTTTTCAGTAGGGCTAAGAATGAACTCTTTAAATCGACTAATCAGTATTCTAGTATATGGAAAATTAAAATTGAATGGTTATCATTGTTTAATAAAATATAATTTATCATGTTTACTCAACAAGTTATTTCCTGTTTTGTCCACCTGTGAAGAAAATAGACATTGGTATATTTTATTTCATGAACATGAAATCAAATACTGTAACTAATCCAACGGACAGACAACAATGATGTAATGACAGGGCTTGCCTCAAATCACTCCAATTGGAAATAAGTAAAGAGTTAATCATATTATTACTTGAAATGAGGTCATATGTACCATATTTTGGAAAATCTAGGGTACATGAATATTATTTACTTCAAAATGCGTTTTTAAAATCTGCGTTTCCTTTATTCAAAAAGCCCTTGAAAGTCATCCGAAATCGGATTATATGACTGCCTTATTTAACATTTTGTTATTCATTTGTTGTTGTAGTCTCAACTTAGTGTCTTATTTGTAGAATTATGATTTTGTCCTTCTCAACAGATCTGGTTTCAAATACTTTGGAAGGATTTTCGTAAACCTTTCTTCAAATTCTAACGCTTTGCTAGAATCGTCTTCACAAGCAAATTTCCCAAAGACAAGTCATAAATTAGTACTCAGACAGTAAATCGACCTTGAAAAAACCCCAAAAATGGTACCTGTTCAATGTTTTGATTAACATTGGAGGTCATTAGTCGTTCATAACCAACAATCTCAGTAGCTCATTCCACTTATTTATTGAATTGACCTTTACTTTTTATAAAAATGTCTCTTTTGTTTTGAGCTGAAGTGTAGTCATTTATACGATATGATAACTATTCACTATCATGATCATTGTTTTGTTATCAGTCGTCTTCCTTATTGATCATTTACATGTTATAATTTGATATATTCTTTATGTATCAACACTGAATGGTAATATAATGTCTGGTGTACGAGTATCTACGACAAACAAATGGAAAGGAAACAAACGCAAATTAACTACTTTTTTTCTTTTCAAATTTTTTTTTCAGTACCTAACCAACATCAAGAGGTAGTACAATGTATTTTGAAAAATCCATCAAAAGTCTCCCTTCTTGTACTCGATCCAGAATCAAAAGCTTATTTCGAAAATAATTCAATTAATGTCAGTAAATTTATGGTAGATATTGAGAAAGTCTGTTGTCCAGCAGTTAATCCATGTTAGTTTCTTTAATCAATTAATTGTGTTTATTTCATTTAGTTATTTAATGTATAAAGAAACTTCTAGAAGTAAATTAATATAATTGATTAGTAAATGAACCAAATGAAAAAAAGATTCATTGACAAGATGCATAAACGCATTGGTGGTAGATGTCGACAAATATTCAAAACTAAAAGTAATACCTGATTCACAATCAAATTCAGTCATCAGCTTCCAAGTTATTAGCTAGTTGAATACTTCATCAGTAAAGGAAATTTAGAACGTTATTTTTAATATAATTAAGTATCTGTACAATAAAGCCAAGGATTATCGATCTCTTTGAAATATCACCAAACTGGAAAATAAGCTGATTAATCAATGTAAGATTATTCTCGATTTAAGTATATGTCATTTCCCATCTATAAATAAACTCCTTATTCTACCACAAATTATCAACTATTATAAAATTCTCTTAGAATCGTAAATTAAGGTGTCTCATTTGAATTGTAAACAGTTATTCTTAGTTTAGTTATCAAAATCAGTATTAGCAGTGAAAGTTAATCTCTGAGTTACTGAATATGGTTGGGAACAGTTTGTTTTACATTTGTCAGAAATTTAATACCAATTAAATAATATTAAGATTAATCAGTAGTGTATGAACAGATATTTTTGTTAGTATTTGTCATGTTTCATTATTTTAATAAAATGTTTTCGAGGTAAATTGTTCATCACAAATATTATTGAATAGTTTTGGTGGATATTGGTCTAATTTAAAGGTGGTATTCGTCATACACTGACTTTGTTGATTTACCACCTGAAATTGGTATGCATTGGATGATTATTTCGTTTTAGTATAGGACTCGTTAATAGTTCTCACTCAAGACCCTTTAGGAATCGAATTCAAAACTATGATGTTTCCGGAGATGTCTAAACCATTTCACTAATGGATTGGAATCCAGCAAAACACATTTTTAAGTTAATTCAATGAATAATATTTACTTCTTATTTTTGAAGCAGAACGAAACAACTATCCAATACTCACTAGTTTCTATCACTTTTCTAAATAATTCCGATTTGTGATAAAAATTATTCCTAAATGATATAAAACATACATCAAATGTACGTAAGTAAATGTTATATACCCATCAGTGTTTAACTTCGGAGTAGATTTGCCCAAGTTTCTAACAGGAAGCTGTGATCAACGAAGTCAATCAAGTCGAATCTGCGGTTCACAAGTTAACTTTAATTTTTTGTTGAAATCATCATCGTCACAAAATCATTGAAAGAATAATATTCTTATACAAAGTTGACTAAATTCAAGGTACCAGTTTGTTTAAAAGTTTATTCAACAATTTTTTCTAGACAAATATTTCATTTTGGATCTAGGCTCTCATATTAGTCGGCAAAACATCAAAGTAAATATCAGTTTTCACTGCGAATAGGATATAAAGGCCATTGGATGGCTTCCATTTATAAGCAATTATATTTTAATATATCACTGAGTTAAACCTAATGTCGATAAGTTTAATAGACATACCAAACATATGTAACACACTCCAGCTGACAGATATTAGCTACTTATAACCAAGAATTTGTATACTGAATTTCTAACAATGTTAAAACCAAATAGAAAAAAGTTATTCATTGAAAATCAGCTGTTTCGTCTTACTTCAAGCAGTGAATAAGTATGTCTCTTCAATAGGACTAAGACCAGGACCTTCAGACATCCAGGCGAAAGAGTAACCTTTAAATCGCTGAAGTGAGGTTCAAATATTTATATTCATAACTTAAGTCATTTGGAAACAATGCGACGTTCATTCATGATCACTCATGATTTCTGTGTATTCCACGACATAGTTGAACTAAACCACTCACGGCTTCTCTCTAGAATTTCAACAATAATCCTTAAAATTAGTCACCAGTAAGTAGATGATTGTTGTTAGGTTGATCATTTGCGGGTATTATTCGAATAGTTCCCTGACTTCTGTCAGTCTGTAAGAAAATCCACCTTCTTAATATATCTACCTAACTATTTATACTGATCATCCAGTCTTAACTGATAATATGCTGTGTGCTTCTATCCTCATTATTTTCTTATGAAAATTTAGTTGGGTTTAACGAACTTTTCTTCTACTCTAATGTCTTGTAACATTTAAACTACTGAATAAAATATCTGTTTTCAAAGATAAAACAACTCGGTGATTTTTGTGCATGTTTTGTCATTAATTTTTGATTCAGTTACATCTGGTCAAAAGGTGAATGGACATAATGAACTGGTGAGTAAAACATTTTGTAATTTAGTTTTAAAAAAATCATATTCTCATCATTTAAAACTATATTTCATTACTGAGAAATTCGGTTCCTCTGAAGAATGTCTCTTCATTGTGAACTAATACTGTAAAGATATTCTGAATATAGTTCTAGTGATTTACAAGAAAGTGATTTACATGATTCTACTTTATCAAAAATTGACCTTTTAAAGTATAATGTGAATTACATTAGAAGGACATTTTTCTAATTTATGAATGATAATTAATAGAGTACTTAAAACGTAGCTAATTCCTGAAAACACATTGATATACAAATATGACTGAAAACGATGTTTAATTTAATTGTCTCTTGACTCGTAACGTGCAAATATACATAGATACTTTGCATATAAATCAGTAGAGCAATGGTATATTTGTTAGAGGAATTGACTTTCGACCACGTGATTATTAGTTCAAAACTCTTTCCGGATGCTTCGGTTTGGGGTCATTGGGTAGTATCACTATGTTTTAGTTACAAAAAAAGTGTGTCAGAGTCGATCAAATAAACTTATATTTGATAACTGATTAGTTACTTACTATGCATTACGTATTCACAGCTTCGAAAAGTCTTTAGTCCTTGCAGTTCACTTCAGTTTTTTTAATTCATCATGATTCTATGAACTGACTGATTTAAGTTAGGGATAGTTTTAGTCCCTTATAAAATATTAAACCTAATATGCTGATAGTAATTATTTAGTACGATTGATATTTAAGGACAGATTTGGGCATTGAATTGTAGTAGTAGTGCTTGTGACCAATTCTATTATATGACCAATGAAGTTGAGCGTTGGACAATATTTTCTATTTGGACTTTAATATTTTCTAAAATATCAACGATATCGAGGCTTGATTTTTCATAGGTATTGATGTTGACCATCGGGTATGGCATTGTCAGTGGAGTGTATTTGAACTTTTCTAGTTAATTTAGTTTAATTGTTAAGATCACCCAGATTCCTACAGTCGAGTCAAACAAGTCAGTCTACTGTACGTTAAACCTACAAATTAAAAATGAAATCCAAATGCCAATGGTGATTTTAAGAAAACAAATCTGTGTCATGCCTCGTACATTAAATATTTGCAATATTAACTTTCTAACCAATATGTATTCTCAGGAAATCTGTGACTCTTGGACCTCTAATAAAGTCAGACACTGAGAATTCGACTGAAGGCCTACGTGGGGAATTCATTTAGTTACATAGAACTAAGCTTATTTGTATTGTTACCATTAAACTTGTAGTTTTGGAGGCTTCTGAAAAAATGCTAATATTATTAATGATCAGACTGTGTGACAGATTGGGTTAGAAAAGTAAATAAATGAGTCAGTTTTACAACTTAACTAGAGTATTATGTACACGATATAGTACAATTCAAAATATCTGTCTTGATTACTGATATTGTTTGTAGCTGTGAAAAGTTAAGTTTTGGAATAACCATTTGGGGATGTATTCTTCAATAAAAATAATTAGGAAATCAAATCAAATAATGTACCCAATGAAAACTGCAAAACAAACAAACAAACACTAACCTGCAAGATTTCCTTGAATTAACATTCGGTCGTTTCTGATGATCAAATGACAATAACTTAATTCATTTATAAAATACAAGTTTAGTTAATCGAGACAAAGTAAATGATTTATGTGAGGGCTAGTAATACTACTATCTAACTGTTCCAAATAAATTAGGTTCAATAGGTTTCAAAACACATAACACACAGTAACTTTATTTTACAAAACATTCTTGCAATAAGTTATGATTATCATTGAAATGAAATGATGGCTTTGTGGTTAACAGTTTCTCACCCAGTCATTGGATTAACGCGCTTAAATATTACACTACTTATCTCTATTGTTTATATAACCATGTACTAAATGCAGCGATTGCTTATTGGTTAGGATATTTGGTTTTTAGCCACTAAGTCCTAAGTTCAAATCTTGTTCAACTTCAGTTTGATCAAATAGGTCGTATCATTAGCCCTCACATTTAGAGTGTATTTTGAAGCCACATGTACTAAAGGCTAATGATAATATTATTAATAATAATAACTTTTCAAACGAATAGACAATCATTAGTGTTTCACTGTTTCTCACCCTAAATTTATCGAACGATCTTTTAAGAAATATCAGATTGAATTTTTTCAATGATAAATTGATTTCAACAGATAACATACTTTCTCATAGGAACATACATTTAATCAGAATAAATAGTGAATAAGTTTTCTCTTATTTTCATCAGATGATAAAAGTCAGTATTAGATCTGAGTAGATTAAAATCAAGAATTTTGGTTAATGAAGGTTAAACAGTATTTCTTTTCATCAACTAAACCAATATTTATTTGTTTATCTTGTTACTGTTTGTAAAGATGTATATTGAATTATGAATTAAACCTGCTATGTCTATAACTAATTACATAAGTTATCTACTTGACTTCCCGATACATCAGTTGTTTTGTTTTATTATGATTCTTTGTGCTATAATTAATTAGATCCAAACAATACGTGCCAAATTTTAGACTCATATTTTTTTATAGTGTATCATTTGTACATATATATATATATATATATATATATATATATATATATATATATATATTTACTATGAAAATATTTGCTTATATGTTCTTATTTATGTATAATTGTTAAACGTATGGATGTGTTATACTCTGTGTAACTTGACTGGTAGATATGTAAAAATGATAAGCACTGTATGATGTAAATAGCAATTACAGTAACCCAACAATCATAAAGTGCTGACTGATCAATTTTTTTAAAATATTCACTTTATCTTCTCATAATACGTATAATATTATCCTAGGCAGTTTCTTGGATAGGCTTTTCTCTGAAGAAAACAGTTTGACTTTCTGATGATCAAACCATCCAACTCGGAGAAAAAACTCCACCTGGATCATTCACTTAAACTACAAATTTTCTCCACCATCTCAAAATTCTATATGCGTAACACGCCCCTCGTCGTTCGGAAATGAAAGAAATTCTCCGAAAGACGGGTTTCTACTCGATAAAAACCATATTTTCCTCACGAGTTTCTTCGTTAGCTTGTTCTGCCAAAAATTGTAAGATACATACCACCAAACAACTGCCCAATTGGATGGAGAATAGATGAGAAAAGTGTAAGTCAAATGGGTACACTTTATGATAACTGATGCGAACTACAGCGTCCGCAAAAACCACCACATCATGGATGACCAAAAGAGGAAGCTAGAGAGAATACGCACATTAGAACATTTAAGAATCTCAACAACAGCTGTCAGGATATCGAGCAGACGATACAGAAAACAAAAAGAAGCACTCTCAAATAAAAATTAATCATGACTTGAAAACCACTCACCGAAGAAAACACTGCGTGGTCAACCTTTCAAAACAACCTCTGATGAACATAGAAGAACACTTGCTATAGAATTGAACTATATTACAAGTGACGCTTCAAAACTAAAATTCTTCTCTGCGTTGAAGTCATTACACAAAAATAAAGAAACTCAACACGAAATAAGACAAATCGTAGTACTGCTAACTAGACGAAATAAAGACAAGACCCAACTGACCGAACACGAACAAAATGCTCAAAGAAACTCAGAACCAGAGAAGAATTATCATAGTTCCAGAGGACAAACAACGCAATACAGTAATTATAGATAATGGAGAATATATAATGAAAGGCAGGAAGCTACTTGAATGTAAAATGCCTATATAGATCATTGGACATACATCCAATCGAAAGGTTAGACAAAAAATTCTCAAGGGCCTTAAACAAGCTTGTCAACGCAGGATAAAAATCAAAGCAAGATCAATGAAGAATGAAACCTTATGGATCAGTACTGCCTTGATCTTAATGTATCCCAAAAATAAAAAACCTAATTATCACAATACATTCACCTGTATCACTCTCCGGAACTTCAACACAATTTATGGAGAGAAATTTCAAGAATATTGAAACATTTATTGGATTCATCCAATCACTCCGTCGAATCTCTAATAGAATTCTTGTCTAAGGTTAAGGACATAAAGATGAACAACGAACTAATGATATCGTTTGATGAAGCAGTCTTATTCACCTCAGTGGAACCAAACTTAGCAAAGGAAATTCTATCCCTCCTCCTCAAAAAAGACACAAATCTCCCAAAGTACAATGAGCTTCAATGTCAAAAGTTACTAAAAATCATTGATTTGTGCTCATCAATACACTTTCTATTCAACAATAAAATCTACGAATAAATGATAGGAACACCGATGGGATCACTATTATCAAGACTAATTGCAAAATCAGTGAGGCTGACACTCGAAACCTTGATCTTACTAGTGATCAAGCCGATGATGTGGATTCGCTTATGGATGACACATTTGTCATAATCGAAAAGGACGAGAAGAAAAACACCCACAATCTGATCAACAACTTCGATGACAAAACATTGACAATGGAAAATAAGTCGAACAAAAAGTTATCATTCTTCGACCTACTTATCACCAGAATCAACGCAGAAAAACCGGGGACTCAAGTTTATCGGAATCCGACCCACACCGATCAAATTCTCAATTACAGTAGCAACAACACAAAAATTCACGAAATAAACTGCGTACGAATTTTATTCAAGAAAGCAAGAATATACTGAAGCAAACTTACAGCGTGGAAAAATAAACAGAAGTATCCAATAGGTATCCATCAAAAGGACAGCCATCAATCCAACATCGTCAAAAAACATCAACCCCTACTCATCAGCGTAAACGAAACCGAGTATAGAAACTGACAAACGAATCACCCTGGTATATATGAAAGACATATCAGGAATCATCAAAGGTTTATTGATGACGTTTAAAATAGGCGTTTCATAAAAAACAGCAGAATCATCTGAATCAGTCTTACAAAAGAAAAAACCCAAACACCATCAGCAAAATAAACCGCTCCGATTGCGAAAAAAATTACATCGGACAAAGTGGACTTATCTTTTACTTTCTCCT